CAAGGTTTTAGTAAGATATTTTGCATTGTGAAACTCCAAAAGGGCCTAGGAACAAATAAACTTGAAAAACGTATTCAATTAGATGATTCTTATATACGTTGATCAAATTTAATCACCTAATGGTATTATACTTACAGTGAAAAAAGAAGTCCCACAAAATCGAGTACATATTCCTCGTACAAAGCCTTCATGTGCTTGTATTGTACGGATACATTTCCGTTGGGTCAGATTCCAAATTCTAACCTATGATAAAGCATATCAGGAAATTTCAGTGAACTATAAATGTAAAATGTTCAGGATAAATTCAACATTGAAAAGGCTACAAATCTTTCTACTGGGCAGCTAAAACCAAAATCCTTTGGATTAAAACAATGCAATGCATGTGGATAAGTATATCAACAAGGAGAAAATACAACCTGGCAAATACTCTGTTGATTCTAGTTTAAAGTGCTGCAAAACTTTTTCACTTGTCATAGTAACAAATTAGGTGTTGACAACATCTTCTGTGAAAAACTAATAAACACTTTAATTATAAACATGATTATTTAATTTACTGTCAAATTGACCCTTAAACTACTGCATTTATAATTTCTTAGATTTAAAGAAGAAAATACTAAACTTAAGTATTCCTAGCAAAATTTAGTCTTGAGAAGTAAACTGAAATTCAATAAAGTAAAACCTACTGTAACTAAAAACTAAAGGAAAAACATCTGAAATGTAAGTACTTTTGGCTGAAAATATCAACATTTAGAGTGAGACTTGCCTCTCCATCACATGCCCCAGAAAGGACAGTAGCCAAGTTCTTTGGATGCTTTGCCAAGCAATTGACTCCATCTCGGTGACCATCCAGCGAAGCAAGGAATGGTTTTGCAAATACCCGTTCCAGTTTGGTAGCATTTAAAGCTCTTACATATTCTCGTGGGACCTCAAAAGGATGTAAGGCAGGATCATAGTTTCTTGGAACTGAAATAAGAGAGATTCCTCTTAATAAAATAATTCAAACTTAGTATTTCCTGCGGACTTCCTCAGCTATTCACTCTATTTGTTATTCAATAAGCAGGTAGTTGGTGACACTGTTCTATGCTTAGCACTAAGAATACAAAAGTAGAAGATCTGTTTTCCAGAAATCTTTCTGAAATTACTGGAAAATCAAGGTATGCATACATCTTGCAAAACAATTAGACCAGGCGTCCCCAAACTGTGGCCCCCTAAGGCCATTTATCCGGCACCCCCGCCACACTTCAGGAAGGGGCACCTCTTTCATTGGTGGTCAGTGAGAGGAGCACAGTATGTGGCGGCCCTCCAACGGTCTGAGGGACAGTGAACTGGCCCCCTGTGTAAAAAGTTTGGGGACGCCTGAATTAGACTATATATATATATATATATATACACACATATATGCACACACACACACATATGCAGCCTTTCCCTCTCATATGTCCTAGTATGCTCTTCAACTGGGTTCTAAGTGTTCACTGTCAGGGCTTCCAATACATTTTTGTTTTCTATTTCCTTATGCCTAGCACAGTTTCTCGCACAAAACATGTGCATGATGTTTGCTCAACAGAACTCTAAGCTTCCTGTGGGGCAGGGAACATTATTAATCTCTGGTGCTAAATTCTGTACTGATAGGCACACAAGGTTGTGATTATCATACTATTATATAGCTATTATTTACTGAACACTTTCTATGTTTGTTTACTTACTTAAAAAAGACTCACTTAAGAGTTCACCAGGTGTCAGGCACTGTGCCAAAAACCTTAATCGTTTGATCTCCACAGCATCCTATGTGTTAAGTTATATTACTATCTCACACTTTATTGATGGGAAAACTGAAGTATAAATAGGTTAATTAACTTGGATATAGCATTATGGAGCCAGGAGTCAAACCAAGGCAGTATGGTTCCAGAATCTCTGTTTTAACTGTCCTGATATGCTGCTAAACACATTTTCTCAGTTAATAATTGTGCTTAGAAAGTAACTTTAAGCTCATATGTCTAAAAAACTCACTGTGTAAAAAGTAAATGCATCCTCTTACCTCATGACTTCACCTTACTGTTTCTTTCTGACTCCCAGGTAATGGTATTATATCTAACATTCAACAAAGCTCTAACCTAGGTCATTCCTACATATTCCAGCTTCCATATTCCCTACTACCAAAACTCAGAGTCCCACTCATCCTCTCTTTCAAACACTTATTCATCTTTCCCTTTAACTCTATTTCTAGTAACTTAGTGTTTTGTTTTTGTTTTTGTTTTTTTGAGATGGGGTATCACTCTGTCACCCAAGCTGGAATGCAGCGATGTGACCATAGCTTACTGCAGCCTCAACCTCCAGGGTTTAAGTGATCCTCCTAACTTAGCCTCTCACCTCAGCCTCCAAGTAGCTTGAGCCTCAGGCATGCACCACCGTGCCCCATTAATCTTTAGATTTTTGGCAGAGATGGGATCTCTTTATGATGCCCAGGCTTGTCTTAGACTCCTGGACTCAAATGATCCTCCCACCTTTGCCTCCCAAAGTGTGGGGTTTATGAGTGTGAGCCAGGGCATCCCCAGCCAGTTTGGGTCTTTATTACATTATACTTAGGCTACTGTAATATCTTCCCTACTGGAGTTGGTGGCAGTTTACACTACTATCAGTCATCTTAAAACAGCTTTTTACATGTCACTCCCATGCTTAAAACTTTCAAAGGCTCCCTGTATAGTAGTCTTCAAACTTTCTGTGTGTCCCATTAGTAACAGAGTTTCTGAGCATATCCCTTCTCCTCAACATATGTGCATATTAATGAGAGCATATAATTAAAGATGTCCTTTTTTTAAGAAAAATCTTGATTTAACACTGTGATAGATTAAAAGGTTCTAATTTCAGCTTAATTCAATGTTTGGCTTTAATGGTTACTATTATAAAAAACAGTCAGGCAGTACTCACTTTCACACAGTACTGTGTTAATAGGATGACATGAATACTGGAACCAATTCCTCACTTTGCAAAGTTTTGTAGTTAACAGATGTGACTTCAATCACTGTAAACCTCTTACAGAGTGGAATAGGTTCAGTTAATATGGTACTGTGCAAAGTGCAGAATGCCTATACTTCACAAAGACAAGCATACCCAAAATGATAATGTCCACAGCTGGCTGTATTTATTTAATATACTTAATTTTCAGTCTCATACATTAGTTATGCAAAGGTTATTTTTGAAATTTAAGTCTACAAATGTAATTTCCATCTATTCTGATGTCAGCAGCTATTCCTACAACTAAATTTAGCATTTTAATAATTTTAATCAAAGTTTAGTAACTCCAACAAGATAGAACATTTTGTTTCTAAATCTCTTCATGTGGTCAAAAATGAATCTTTTGTTTTTTTTGAGTCAGAGTCTTGCACTGTCGCCCGGACTGGTGTCAATGGCGCGATCTTGGCTCACTGCAACCTCTACCCCCCAGGTTCAAGCGATTCTTTTGCCTCAGCCTCCCAAGTAGCTGGGATTACAGGAACCCACCACCATGCCCAGCTAATTTTTTGTGTTTGTAGTAGAAATGGGGTTTCACTATGTTGGCCAGACTGGTCTTGAACTCCTGACCTCATGATCCACCTTGGCCTCCCAAAGTGCTGGGATTACAGGTGTGAGCCACCATGCCCAGCCAAAAATTAATCTTTATAGATGAGAAACTGACATTTATAAAGCAACTATTATGTTCCAAGTGCTGTCTAAACACAGTTCATACACAAACATGATTCTTCCCCGTTTTGTAAGTGAAGTCTGATGGGAAAGCCTATTAATCAAAATAATCACCATGAGACAATGTGATAAACACTGTGATGAAGTGATAGAATCATAGAAGACCGGTGCTGAAAGGAGCTGAGCACATGCAGGAGTTAAGTATGAAAAGATTGTTCAGCAAAAGTTTTCCAGAGAAAGCAGCTACATTGGATAAGGGTGTGCCACAGGAAGCCTTAAAAAAGATAACTGAAATGCACTAAGATTGGCAAGAGTGAATACTAAACCACTTGTGGGAAACATAGTGACTGACCAAAGTGGCAAGGAAGGTGGGACCAGAGATTCAACGATTGGGAATGATGCCAATTCCAAATGATAAATCTAATTTATATTTTAGAAACATTACTGCCTTGTGACAAACTATAAATACCTTGTGAGCAGAGACCTATCTCTTAGCAATGCTGACATGCATGTTGATAATACCTACTGTTCAACCTAAATAGTGAAATACTGTACTCACCTCATCTCATCTCGCTTACTCCTCGTTAAAACTCTAATGACAACGTCCTTCTTTCCATGCCTTAGGTTCATTCCTGCCTGAAGACCTTTGCTCCTGTTATTCTCTTTACTAGAACAATCTGCTCATGCACGGTTAGTCCCTTGTCATTTAGGTATTACGAGGCACAATTAATAAGTAGTTAGCATATTAATGGGGGAAGAGACCAGTAAGCATAAATAAAACTCATTAATTTCACTTTAACCATTCTTTCATCAAACTTCATAAGGGATGTTAAGAGAAAACTGACGCTTTTAAATTTAACTTCATCTCTTCCAACATCCAGAATATGAGCAGTAGGAAGGTTTTTAAAGGTTGTTTAACTCTTAACCCTTCAACCCATGAGTTTGACTCATTCAAGTCCACTTTTCAATAATAGTAACCTGAAGACAATCCTAGAGCAGCAGCTGGAATCTTTTTCCACTATAGACAACTATTTCCCACTCACCACTAGAGGAAATTCTTAAAAAAAAGTACTTGAACAGATTTTAGTTGCTATCCAGTTCCACATCAACCCTGTAAGCACAAAGTTTGCCTTAGCGAAAAGGGAACTGAGAAAGAACCCGACTGGAGCGCCAGCCTCCCCCGGCTTTACTCCGTGCAAGCCGAGGCTAGACCCAAAGACTCGCGGAACGCTTTCCTTTCTCGCTACCAACTTATATTACCTCTCTGTAAGTCAAACTTGGTTTCACGGACATAATTGTCCGGATTCCGACTCAGCATCTTCACCTTCATATTGGTTGCTCTTCCGGCCGAACTCCACGAGGCCTTCCATATAAGTTCGGCCCACCGCCGCTTCCCCTAACATGCGACTTCCGCTTTTCCCAGACTACTTCCAGTCACGTGACTCGCGGAGCGGCCGCCGGCTGGCTCAGCTGGATCCTGCGACGCTCCGTAGTTTTGCCGTCCTGCGCTGGCAGGGGGCGGTTCTTTAGCTGTGCGGTCTCTTCCGCGTCCGAGGGCTGGAGCATTTGTGGGCGAGGCAGGGCGGAGACTCGGCGGAGGCAGGCACCTCCCCTCTAACGCTATTTCCGCCGGCGTGACCTGGTGGCTGCGCCCCACTCACGCCCCCTCAGTACCAGACTCTCAGGGCTTGGCTCCCGCGCCGTGGGCGTCAGAGTCCTCTCGCCGGTCCCGGAGGTGGGCTTGCCCTCGCAAGGGGCGACCGCCGCCACCGTGGCGGCCACAGCATCTCGTCCCGCCTCCGCGGCCCTGGGCGCCGTGGTCTCGGCAGGCCCCGAGCCTATGACGGGCCAGGGCCAATCGGCCTCCGGGTCGGCCGCGTGGAGCACGGTATTCCGCCACGTCCGGTATGAAAACCTGGTAGCGGGCGTGAGCGGCGGAGTGTTATCCAACCTTGCGCTGCACCCGCTCGACCTCGTGAAGATCCGCTTCGCTGGTAAGAGCCTACCTAGAAACCGGGCTGCTTCCTCTCACTGTCAGCCTGAACTGAGTGGTAAAGAATCAAAAAGAGGCCTTGGTCTCCTCCGTGCTAGGAGAAGGAAGAGCGTTGAAGGGGATGCTGTCCGCCGTGGCTCACCTGAACTAGATTTGAGGAGATGGTGCTTTGTAGGCGTGCGATCTTCCCCGCTCCTCAAGACTAAGGGATGGGGCCTGTATGTAGAGAAGTATGAGTAAAAAAATCCTCATTGGCAGGGAAGATGGGATGCAATTCCTGATTTGTGAAATAAAGAAAGGATTGTCACATTTTAGGGTTTATTCCTCACACAGGCAAATCATTCACTCTTGGAGGAACTTTGAAATCTTAGCGTAGCCACGTGGTTTGGCAGCTCGACCAATGTTGGGATAGGGCGTAATCGTCAGCTAATGTTGGGAGTATATTTGGAATAGAATTCTCTTGAATGTTTGTTTTTTGTCGTTTATAGAATGGTACAAGGTCCTGTGAAAGAATAGGTAGCTAGAATCGAAATACTATTTTAAGTGTATTAGATGAATTGAGTATTTGAAGTTAATAAAGGATTTTAGAAGTTAAACTCTATTCTAAAGTCTGGAAACAGTTTCAGAGATGATTTTTGGTAACTGAAATTGCAGAAAATAGTTTTCAAATAAAGTTATTACAAGTTCTGCCTTGAGAATTAAATCTACAGTTTATCTTAGCATTAGGTAATTCATTTCACTTGCTGTATATTAATGTGTAGACTGCTGTATGGGCTACAGAAGTATCTAACAAAGTTCTAGTCTTCAGGGAACTTAGAATTTAATTGTAGACGTTAGACTTAGATAAAAGGTAATTCTAGACGACATGAAATCAGGAAATGCAAATACGAAATATAAATACAGGTAAACCTTCAAGAAAATTCTGCATTGCTGATGGTCATATGTATCTTTAAATGTTCAATGGAAGATTGGGGTTTCCCATAGAAGGGCTAATATTTTGACAGATGGAGAGGAGGCAAGAAGCCAATCTATGAAGAAAAATCATTGAAAATTATGGAGTATTATCCCTAGAAAAAAACATCACGAAGGCATTATAATTTTATGAAGTTTTATGATGCATGCACAAATAATTATCAACAAGTAATCTTTATTTACTAGGAGCAAGGCAATGAACTATGTTTTAGATGTATTAACTCATTTAGTATCCTGTAAATCTACATAGGAACAGTCCTGAGAGTTTATGATCCCTGCTATACAGATGAGGATAACAGAAGTTGACTAATTTGCCTGAGTCACAAGTTTGTAAAGGTGGATCTGGGATTTAAACCCAGGTAATCTAACTCTGGAACACCCTGGCATTTAACTCCTCACCATCCTGCCTCTATAATTCCCTGTTATGCAATAGTTTGAACATTAGAAGAATTTTAGACTTGGCTGCAGGTGCAGGCCTGTATGACTTGGTGTCTTTCTTCAGCAGCATTTTATTTAGGAGCAGAAGAGGTGATAGTCGAGGTGATCATTGAAGAATAGTGTGATTGGTCTGATGAGTTTAAGACAGTGCTGTGAAGCATAGCATTCCTTAGGAAACAATTCTTGTTACCTGAGAAGATTAGTAGTCTTGATGAATTGGGAAGAGTATTGGGAGACTAGTGGGGCTGAGGTGACAGATAAAAGGATTGAGTTTGGATTGGAGGCCTAAATTAAAGATCTAGGCATTGAAGCAGGAGTTTGTATAATAAAGCTCACAGTGTAGCTGTGAAATGGTGATAGGAGGAAAATTTAGGAAGATGAATAACAAATAAAAATGTATTGATTATCAGCATCAATGCTGAATAACTTACTGTAGTTTTTATGCTTCCATTGTAGTTAAACTCATTTAATAAAATTAAAATGTAATGATGACAGGATCTGAATGCATGTGCTATTAAACCAAACCTGGAATTTTTCTGTGAGTTCAAGTACAAATTGGAACTCAGAGGTGTCCAGAATGATAGAAAGATTAGAAATTAATTCAGATGAAGAATAACTAGAGGAACTAGTTTAGCTCAGGAGAGAAAAAAACCTCAAGATATTTAGAGAACTTCCATGTGGGGAAAGGGGGCTGCCTTACTGTGGGTTGATCCTAAGGTCAGATACAGATTGAGTGGAAATTACAGGGAAGCAGATTGTGGTTTGGCAGTGTGGTAGTGCTCAGAAATGAAATTAATGATTACAAGTGGTTCAGATAGCAGTTGGATGACAGAAGTTAGAAGATACTCTTGTATTAGGTGGAAAGATTGGATTAGATAACTATTCAGACTTCTAACTTTACGATGTAATGTTAAACCCTCAAGAATGATGAGAGAGCCCCAACAAAAGAATGAAAATGAGATACAGTAATTTTCTAAGTAACCCAAAAACCTGATCGTTTGCAAGTTAAAGATATGTGTGAGCTTTTGTGAAGAATGTAGAGAGTATGACTACACCCAAAACCTGAAGGAACCAAAATGTAAAATTCAGTAACAGTAGTGCAGAATAAAGTTTTATATGTATGTGGTATTGCAAGACTCAGTGGCATAAATAAACTAGTACTTATTGAGTGCTTGCAATATGTCAGGCATAATTCTAAGAGCTTTGTATGAACTAACTCATTTAATCCTTTGTAATTTTTAGAGTTAGATTCTATTATTTTTCCTATCTTATGGAAAAATTCAGGCACAGAGTAATCCAGTGACTTACTCAAGGTTGCAGACTAATTGCTAGAACTAGGATTCAAGCTCAGAAAGTCTTTTTCCATGACATATGCTGTTAGTTTGAAACCATGTTTTGTAAAGCTAAAGGGAAAATTAAAATGATAGAGATGAAAATAAAGAATGATTCCAGAAAGTGAAGAAGCTGCCAGATTGACATGTCTTTTATGAAAAATGGAAACCGGCAGTAGGATCAGAACCCTTAGTGGGACAGGATGTTAGGAATAAGATCCAGACTAGTAGCACCAGAATGGTAGTTGAAGCCACATGGTTGAGAGACCACCTCTGTTTGATGGAAATTGTGCATATAAAAATCAACATTTAAGGATGGGCAGAGAGGAAGGAGCAAAGGAAATGTAGTGGCAAAGAAGCAAGAGGACATCGAAGATAGTGCGGTGTTAAATGAGCCAGAGGAGAGGGCTTAAGAGATAAACAATTTCAGGTGCTGCTAAGGGTTCCTAAGAAAGAGAGGACTCCAAAATGCCTTTGAAGGTTCTTAATTAGAGTGCTTGAAGTAATTGGTAAAGCTCAAAGCAGATTGCCTTGGAGGTGAGAGAGTCCCTGCTGAGATTGTCTGGAGTGGGGCAGGGAGGAACATGTCTTTTCATTGCTGACACTTAACTGATAAGGAGGCTCTGGGATCAAAGAGTAAATACTTAGGAGAGATTTAAGCCTGTTTAAATGCTAATGGAAAGAACTTAAAGCAAGGAAGAGATTGGGAAATAGAGGCCAGAGGATAAGGTTAAGGTATCTAACTAAGGGGGGTTGTCTGAAGGAACAGGATCTAGAACAAGCTTTTTTGACCAGAAATAAATTTCACCTTTGCTATCCAGTGTGTACACATACATACACAAACATTACTGAAACACACGTTTCATGAAACAATATTTATCCTAACTACTTGTGATGTCATTTATCCTTTGTTTTCTATTCCAGTCTGGTTTTGAAAGAAAGATACTAGCAATCTGAATTGGTTTCTTGATTCATCTGGAATTTTAAAAACACCAATATAGAGCACAGGTAGAGGGGATTACTTTTATTAACAGAGACAAAGGAGAGGTAAAACCAATATCCAGGAAATGAAACAGGTTGTGTTAGCGTGATGGTGCTAGGTGGTAATTTTTTAAGTCATTATATTGTCCTTCTCAGAAGGTGAATTTAAAATGAGTGTCCTGTCTTGGCTCCTTTCTATACACCAAACTTTTTGTCTTCAGTTTGTGTCTATTGGCAATTTTTAGTGCTGTGATAAGCCATTGTAAATTATTTGATAGAAGATTAGATCTACACACTAGTTGGTTAGCAGCAAATATTTTTAAAACAATCATGAGGTCATTTAGGCCAGTGGTCCCCAACCTTTTTGGCTCCAGGAACTGGTTTCATGGAAGACAATTTTTCCATGGATGGGAGTAGAGGAGGTATGGTTGATTTCACGATGAAACTGTTCCTCCTCAGATCATCAGGCAATAGATTATCTTAAGGAGCATGCAGCCTAGATCCCTTGCGAGTGCAGTTCACAGTAGGGTTCCTGATTGTATAAGAATCTAACGCCACCACTGATCTGACAGGAGGCAGAGCTCCAGTAATACAAGCGGATGGGGAGCAGCCGTAAGTACAGATGAAGCTTTGCCCACGCTCCACTTACCTGCTGTGTGGCCCAGTTCCTAACAGGTTACTGACTGGTACAGGGAGTTGGGGACCCCTGATTTAGGCCAAAAACATTCACTGTATCTTATCTATATAATTTTAATTTTATGTTAGGGAGATCCTAGTTCAGCCTTGATTTATACCTATGAAAAGAACAGGTGGTGTTTTAATGGTTGGTTTTGCTTTTTACCTCAAGAGAGAAATGGTATTGTGAGTTTATTATTGAGAGGAAAATGGAAAGTTCTTAGAAAGGGATCTATACAGAAGAATGAGACACAGAGAATCCAGGGGAAGCATCAGGAAGATTATAAACTACACAGGAAAACATTTCTCAGGAGCCTGTCATCCTGCTGCCTGCCTTTAAATTTGTTGTCTTATATAAACCTTAAAAAACCCTGTAAGGTACATGACTTTTATCCACATTTTATAAGTGAGGATGCTGAAGCTCAGAAAGGATAAGACCATGTAGCGAATTAGGGAAGTTACATTTCAAACTCAGGTGTACTGATAAAACAAACCTAATGTACTTTAATCTCACTTCGTGCTGTAACATTGGCAGGTTAGTGATGAAAGAAATTGACTTTTCTGCCTTTGCCTGCAAATGGTAAACAGTGATTCTTTTGCCAGACTGGATTATACAGAGTGAAGTAGGACATTGAGGGGGACAGTGAACCGGGGATGCTCCTGTGGCTAGTGGAGTATAATTTGTGTAAACTTTCTGGAAGACAGGTTCAGTACATATTTGTAACTTAGGTATATACCCATTGACCTATATCCCTTTCTAATAGCTAATTCCAAGACAGTAATCATTCATGCAGATTGTTGTACAGAATGTTCTTTAGATAACTTTTATAATAGCCCAAAAAAGAGAATTCATGTCAAATGGAGGAATGACTGTAAATGATGTGATTTCTATAAGATAGAAAACCATGATGTCATATACTAAAAATCTTTTTTTTTTTTAAGGAAATCTATTGAATAACAAGGAGAACTGCTCACAAATAATCTTGAGTGGAAAGCAAAGCTGTATACAAAACTATAGTAAAATTACAATTTTGGATATACTACAGTATAACATAGAATGGCATGCATGTGGAATGTCATTGCCAATTACTGAGATACTTAATACTCCTAAAATTAAGTGATTTTTTTAAATAGTAAAGAAATAATTGATACTGTATTCCTTGTGGTTTTCTACAGCCTGCTCACACTTTTGTAAATAGTCCTTTTAGCTGCCTCTCATGCCCTAGAGTTATCCTATTTTGAATGTGCTTTCTGTTTCCTACAGAGAGATGAAATGAAAAACTACCAGATTTATAACCTAGATTATATTTTTTACAAAATTGGCAAGAAGACTACTTTAAATGCTGATGATGCTAGTTGAAAACTGATGGTTTCTCAAAGTAGGATGATGGCGGTGTGAACTGAGAGATATAGACAGGTGAAAAAGAAATTTGTGAGAGAATCAAAAGGACTTGTTATTTGATAAAAAGGGATGGGGGAGGAGGGTTCATGGATAGTCCCTGGGTATCTGGTGTGGGTATCTATGTAGATGATGACGTTTGTTGAGCGATTACAGCTCAACAGTAAGAGCAGCTTCAGAAGGGATGGGGAAAACTTGTTCAATTTTGGATATGTTCAAGTGGAATACTTTCCTACTTTCTACTTGGATTTTGATATGTTTTGGTGGAGAGGATAGGAAGAATTTCCAGGAAGAAAATTTACCCCATCCTCTGCATTTTCTTTCCTGCCATTCCTCAGGTCTTGCTAGTACTCGATATAATTGAGGCTCCTGGCCTCAATTATTTTTTTACATTAGAATCCTTAACCTTGGAGCAAAAACCAAGCCTAAGTGTTGAAACCTAGTTACCTAAGAGACTTTCAGATTATTTGCGCTAATCTAATATTTCCTAAAATATTATTTGAGTGCTTAGTATGCCCTAAATAAACACTTGAATAAATTGAGGAATGTAGTAGTTTTAAAATATTGAAGCCTGGAAAACATTTTTTTCTACTACCTAAAAAAGTTTTTCTTCTAAGCTTATCTCCTTTATATAACTGATTGTGCAATATCTGTGTTTATATGTGATACAGAGCTAGAACTTTGTTCTTACCTGACTTTGTGTATCGTTTAATGCAGTGAGTGATGGATTGGAACTGAGACCAAAATATAAAGGAATTTTACATTGCTTGACTACCATTTGGAAACTTGATGGACTACGGGGACTTTATCAAGGAGTAACTCCAAATGTGTGGGGTGCAGGTTTATCCTGGGGACTCTACTTTTTCTTGTGAGTAGATTTGGGAGATTTTACAGTATTAAATAAAAAAAGGAATTTTTGTTTTTAGTGATTTTTTACATGTCAGATGATGAAACATGAGTCATTTATTCAGTTTCTCTGAATTGGAAGGATCAGAAAGAACAAAATGACTTAGTTTGATTCAAAATGGCTAATTAGTTTGATTATCAGATGCCTCTGATAATAGCTAATGGCTTATTAGCTATTATTAGTTTATAAGCCATTAGCTATTATCAGAGGCATCTATTTAATCTGGAAGAAAGTTCTTAATAGGAAAAAGGTGAAGAGATGAGATGGAATAATACTCTTACAGAAGCCATTTCTGTGAGGTGAATTCAGGAAGATGAAATGTTTAACTGATTACTTTTGTAAGCTAAATACATATTAAAGGGAGCTTTTCACTTTAGTTAAAGCCATTTGAAAAACAGCCAGCTCCAGATAACTCACAATGAAATTATAGGGCCCCTTCGGTGTTTTATTAGTTGTTTTAGCAATATCGTGCGTACTCTTAAGCGTTTCTAATAGAGTCAAAATATTACTAGATTAGAAAAAGTTGAATCAGTTGGTTTGTTATTTGTTAGTGGTTTTGGAAAGTGTCGTAGAGACTAGAGGAGCCTGAAACTGTTGTCTAAAATTAATCCTATAGATTTCAGTTCTCTTTGGTATTCAATTTTGATAAAGAAGATTGTTTAAATAAGTTATTTTCTCCATGTGTCAGAGATTAGTTCCAGAGTACCCCAAATAGAAAGTTTCATAAATACTGAAATATCATTAGTTACTTTTTATCCTCATCCAGATTCCCAAAATATTTAAGATGGCTTACAAAGATATATTTGATTTATGATGAAGGTGGAAAAGCAGGAGAGTATAGTCCTTGGGGTCCTCATATGAATATGTACCACAGGAAATCCCTATTGAGAACAGAAAGCAAAAGTCAGTGCATGGACAAAAGGGTTTGAGGCAAATTGTTTCTTGTTTGACCTGCCCCATCATCTTTCCAGCTCATTCCTTTCCTTACTCTTTCACTGGTCAGATAACATCATCATTTAAAATAACTGCTCTCACCTGCCTCCTGAAGAAGTCATAGAAGGATCCTCTGACAGGCATATGCTTTTTTAGTGAACAAGAGCGTGGTTACAAAGTATCCTGGCACTGCACTGAGGGATAATGTGCTGCTCGGAGCATGCCTCTGGTGAAACTGAAACCATGAATGGTGAAGCTTTTCTTTGCTTCAGCACGTTTCATTTTTAGGAAAACATCATATTTGGTATATTTGCCTTTGTCTTCTCTGTGTCACATATTTTACTTGAGCTCGCATAAGTTTATGGCAGTATCCAAACCAAACTTAAAATATTTTTTAAGTGAAAGCAAAATAAAATTCAGCCTTAAAATTGTTCAAATATTTTTTTCTCTTTTTCTTCTCTTTAGAGAGGTATGTGTGAAATTATATACACACACACACCCCTCGAGACACACACACACACACACACACACACACACAATGCTTTATGAATTTGAGTTGTATAGATTCATCAAGACAGTTTCTAAGGATAAGCCATATTAATATAAAATTGGCATGATAAGAATTTATTGGGCCAGGTGCGGTGTCTCACACCTGTAATCCCAGCACTTTGGGAGGCCAAGGCAGGAGGATCACATGAGTCTGGGAGTTCAAGACCAGCCTGGGCAACATAGTGAGACCCATCCCTTCAAAAAATTTTAAAAAGAATTAGTCTGGCTTCATGATGCTGCATGCCTGTAGTCTTAGCTAACTGGGAGGCTGAGGCAAGAGGATTGCTAGGAATTCAAGGTCACAGTGAGCTGTGATTGTGTCACTGCACTCCAGTCTGGGTGATAGAGTGAGACTCTGTCTCTGAAAAAAAGAAAAGAAAAATGTGTTCACTTGACATCTTCATCCGAGAGAAAAGTGGAAATTAGCATTAAAGGAAATAGGCTGATTTGACGCCCTTACTTTGAAACATTAAATGGGGATTTTTCTACTAAATAAACCCCAAATCTCAATCTGCCACTCAAGAGTAGCCAATTGAATACACAATTTAGAGAGGAATATAAGTGAATTGATGGAGCTGAAAAACACAATAGGAGAACTTCGTGAAGTATGCACAAGTTTTAACAGCTGAATTGATCAAGCAGAAGAAAGGATATCAGAGGTCGAAGACCAACTCAATGAAATGAAACAAGAAGACAAGATTAGAGAAAAAAGGATAAAAAGGAACGAGCAAAGTCTCCAAGAAATATGGGACTATGTGAAAAGACCTAATCTACCCTTGATAGGTGTACCTGAATGTGACGAAGAGAATGAATCCAAGCTGGAAAATACGCTTCAGGATATTATTCAGGAAAATTTTCCCAGCCTAGTAAGGCAGGATAATATTCAACTCCAGGTAATACAGAGAACACCACAGAGATATTCCTCAAGAAGAACAACTCCAAGGCACATCGTCAGACTCACCAGGGTTGAAATGAAGGAGAAAATACTAAGGGCAGCCAGAGAGAAAGGTCAGGTTACCCACAAAGGGAAGCCTATCAGACTTGCAGCAGATCTCTCAGCAGAAACCCTACAAGCCAGAAGAGAGTGGGGGCCAATATTCAACATCCTTAAAGAAAAGAACTTTCAACCCAGAATTTCACATCCAGCCAAACTAAGCTTCACAAGTGAAGGAAAAATAAAGTTTTTTGTGAACAAGCAAGCACTCAGAGATTTCATCACCACCAGGCCTGCTTTACAAGAGCTTCTGAAAGAACCACTACACATAGAAAGGAACAAACAGTATCAGCCTTTCTAAAAAAAATATCAAAAAGAGCATCAATATAATGAAGAATTTACATCAACTAATGGACAAAATAGCCAGTTAATGGCAGTATTAAACTCACATATATTATTATTAATTCTAAATTTAAATTGACTAAATCCCTCAATCTAAAGACAGGCAATTTGAATAAAAAACTAAAACCCATCAGTATGCTGCATCCAGACCCATCTCACATTCAAGGATACACAAAGACTCCAAACAAGGGATGGAGAAAGATTTACCAACCAAACAGAGAGCTAAAATAAATAAATAAAAAGCAGAAGTTACAATTAAGCAACAAAGATCAAAAGAAGCAAAGAAGGACATTATATAATGATAAAAGGATCAATGCAACAACAAGAAGAGCTAAAGATTCTAAATATATACGCACCCAATACAGGAATACGCAGACATACAAGACTTATAAAGAGACTTAGACTCCCACATAATAATAGTGGGAGACTTCAACATTAATATTAGACAGATCAATGAGACAGAAAATTAACAACGATATTCAGGACTTGAGCTCAGATCTGGAACAAGTAAATGTAATTAACATTTATAGAACTCTCCACTTTAAATATACAAAATATACACTCTTATCAGTACCACATCATATCAACTTAGAAGTTTAAACGAAATCTTGGTTGGCTCCTTGTTTGTTATTCTCTTCCCTCATTTTCTTTTATATCTCCATTACTAAGGACAATTATAGGCATACCCATATTTAGATTGCATTCTAGCCTGGGCAATAAAGCAATACCCCCATCCTCTCTCCCTCTTCCTCTTTCTCTTTCTTCCTCTTCTTTATTCTTTTTCTTATAAAAAAATAAAAATAAAAAAATAATAAAATGAAAAAAAAAAAAAGTGGCCAATTTTCCCCGTCTTCCCACCCATCCTTACTACTTTTCTCCATGCTGATCCCTTTCCCTGTTGAAAATGTGCCTGTCTCAATACCCAGTTCAATACTACCTTTTACACAAAGCCTTCTGTGATCTCAGTCATAATTCCTGAGTATCTTCTATTATCTGTTGTATTATGATCATTTAATAGTGCTTATTAGTTTGTTAAGAAAAAAATCACGTTTATCTTTTTATCTGTCAGAAACTCAACTGTAGTACCTGAACATAGGTGCTCAGTGTATATTTGTTAGATACCCCTCCTTTGGTATCTTTTGTCTTTTCTGGCCAGTCTGTATACCACCACTATATTCTACCCTCCTCCCAGTTTTTCTGTCTTTTGAAAGTAATTGATGAGTGTCTGATTAAAATACTTTACATTTGTATTGATAGCCATATTTATTTAAGAGGGAGGGGTGGTATAATCTTGCAGTAAACCACTTCCAACAAATCCATTCTTGAAAAAGGTCTCATTCTGTGGTTGCATTACGTATTGACTTTTGCTTTTGAAGTACTGGTGTTGTGTTACACTTTAAAACAGACTTTATGACACCTATTCAAATTAAACTGCTTGTATTTAATTCTTTTAGTTACAATGCCATCAAGTCATATAAGACAGACGGAAGAGCTGAACGGTTAGAGGCAACAGAATACCTTGTCTCAGCTGCTGAAGCTGGTAAGGCAATTTGTGAAATGTAAAAATGTCACCTTCCAAACTTAATTTTCAGTTTTTGCTTTTGATTTTTTTCTTTGAACACCTGAGTTTAAATATGCCTAACTATATTAAATTAGTTATATGGAATTTCTTAGCAGGAATTCTTATGATTACTCTGTTCAGATTTCAAGAATTTTACTTATCACAGAGTGGTAAAGTTTAGAAAAGTTATGAATTCCTAATAGTTTAAAATGATTTGGTATAGGGTTTCTTTAATTAAAGTATAATTATAGTTTTCAGATTATACAATTTAGCATACTTGTTTAATCACTTCATTTATGTATACTATCCAGAAGGAAAAAACAAAGTGAGAGTCATCAGTCTTTATAACTCCTACTTTAATACCTTGATTTTTTAGTGTTTGATTAGGCAGAAACTAACTTACTCATTTTCAAATACATAGCCCCTAGCAAAGAGCTGAGTCATAACAGGTCTAAACCTTACGAAACCTAGCAAATAAGAAACTTAGCCAGATGAATTTTTTTAATAAAATTGTCAGTCTCTGTAACAGATGTAAAATGTGACTTAATATATTACATAATTATTTAATTTATGAGGGATAGTAGTTAGTTTGAATGGATTTGAAGGAGATTGTGATAAAGTTGGGGTAGATACGTGTGTCACATGCACAGGGTCTTGGGGTGCCAGATTCCTGGTCCTTTTCCCCTGTCTTCAACACCTCTGAATTATACTGTGTACTATACCTAAGATCTGTATCTGCTTACCTTCTGTTCTCTGCACCTGGCCACGTTTAGGGGTCAGGACATTTTTGCTATCCTTATACCTCAAAGGGAAAGCATCTCACATTTCCGTCTCCCTTTTAATTTACCTCTCACTAACTGCATGAGGAACTTAATCCTTTGTCCTTAAAACTGCCTCAGAGACTGCATTTTATAGTTTCAGATATGGTCCCTGTGCATTATCTTTTTTAAAAAAAACATAAACCTACTGTTTTTAATTTGGATTATCGTAAGAGTGAAAGTATCTGTATGGTGAATAATCTTATTGAAATCTCATTTTAGGAGCCATGACCCTCTGCATTACAAACCCATTATGGGTAACAAAAACTCGCCTTATGTTACAGTATGATGCTGTTGTTAACTCCCCACACCGACAGTATAAAGGAATGTTTGATACACTTGTGAAAATATATAAGTATGAAGGTGTGCGCGGATTGTATAAGGTAACAAATTATCAATATATTTTAAATAACTGAAAATTGCAATTTCCGTTGGCTCTGTTGTCTTAGTTCTGAGTGACCTGTAGTAAGTCCCAAAAAGAATCCAAACTTAGGCAAGAAACAATTTAATGAAAACTGAAATCTGGTTAGTAATACTGAAATTGTACTTAAAGCTATTTATCCTCATTAACATAGGATGTATCATCATGACATTGGTGGGTGTGAGAACTGTCTAAAACTTGTCAAGTATCTTTTTGATAAGTCACACAACAAGGTCACCTATTCCTTACTTCATTCCTTGGAAACCCTGGTCTCTTGGGAACCTGGGGTAATGTAGTCTGGAGAAGACATTAGCAGTTCTAACAGGATCTTAAAATGTTTTTTTTTAATTCATCTCAAATCTTACATAAATCTAAAAATAACAAAAATTAAACCCAGCCCTTTGCCTGTTGTAATATTTTAAAAATTTCTTCCTAGTGTCATACCTGTTTTCTGATTTTATAACTCCTTTTTATTTTCCCCTTTTCTACCTTCTCCCATTTCTTGCTTATCCCCATAAAGAAATTTTTAGGCATACATAGTTTAAAATCAAAATTAGATGCATTGAATTTCAGTTTGGTTTTTAATGATTGAGTAATAGCTTTTAAAATCATTGATTTTACTGACCTATGGACAAAAATTTTGTAAATATATTATTCAATTTTGTGTTTTTTCATCACTTTCTGCCTTAGTATTTCAGAATACGTATCCTTAGTTCATTGATTTACCATTACCTTTAGTTTCTTTGTAGCCCAGGCTGGAGTGCAGTGGCACAATCTCGGCTCACTGCAACCTCCACCTCCGGGGTCCTGGTTCAAGCAATTCTCCTGCCTTAGCCTCCCAAGTAGCTTGGATTATTTTTGTATTTTTAGTAGAGATGGGTTTTCATCATGTTGGCCAGGCTGTTCCTGAATTCCTGACCTCATGATCCACCCGCCTTGGCCTCCCAAAGTGCTGGGATTACAGGCGTGAGCCACCTCGCCCAGCCACCTTAGTTTCGAAACTTCCCAGAATTTAATTTCCTACTCAAGTCTTGACAGTGTATACCATCAAGAAAAACAGTATGTATACTGTTTAAAGAAAAACTAATATATGAACATCCAAATATTTAAAAATAAAGTAGAAGGGAATAGTACCCCTTTGTTTTTTTATATTACTACAAGTTTTTAACCTCAGATTTTAAAAATGTTATTTGTACAAAACTTAAATGAATTTGCTTAAAGTGCTATAATGAGAGACAAGAGAAAGTATTTTACTCAAATATGTTGTTCTTTGAAAGTATATTGTTTTGCTTTTCAAAAACCATTCCCTTTTAGGGATTTGTTCCTGGGCTGTTTGGAACGTCACATGGTGCCCTTCAGTTTATGGCATATGAATTGCTGAAGTTGAAGTACAACCAGCATGTCAATAGATTACCAGAAGCTCAGTTGGTAAGATGATTCATTTACTTTTATGAGTATTTAGTAGATAGAAATTTTTGTCGTGCTTACTTTGGTGGCGGTGCTATGATGAGTACTGACTCTGCCACTGATTTAATTTATAGTTAAATATTTATAGGCTGATGTCACACAATTGTCAAAAATAGAAACCCTTTAAAGATCTATTTAAATTTTTTTAATATAATTTTTACTTCTGTGTTTTTAAAGGAATCCTGTCTAAAGAAAAAACTATTTTGTGTTACCATTTTAGAGCACAGTAGAATATATATCCGTTGCAGCACTATCCAAAATATTTGCTGTCGCAGCAACATACCCATATCAAGTCATAAGAGCTCGTCTTCAGGACCAACACATGTCTTACAATGGTGTAATAGATGTAATCACAAAGACATGGAGGTGAGAGCATGCGCTATATCAAAATTGCTTTGATAAGGTACCTTGCATATCTTAGACCATCTTGTTGATAGTAGTTTTATAGCAAAGTCCAGTTTGCTGTGGTAAAAACATGATTGGTGGTCCCTGCTTTCCCTATTATTAGGTATGTGACCATGTCTCTGAGGCTTGATTTCTTCATTTGTAAAATAAGACTCTCTAAGCAAATGGGTTGTTGTAAGAGTCAAATTAAATGTGTGAAAATGTTTTAGAAAATGAAATTTAAATGTTTTAAAATATCTGAGGATATTGAATATAAGAAGTCAAAGTATAGCTTAATACATTCAAGAAGGCTCCAAACCTGCTACTGGCACAATAACTTTTGCAAATACTTGTTTCAATATATGAAAGAGATGCTTGTTCTTCAGCATGAAACTAGTTAAATTATTATAGGCAGACATCACTATATTTCCCTTTAATTCTGGAAGAACAGAGCAGAACATTTAGGATGTTTACATTTAATTTAATTCAAGAAATATTTAATGAGTGCCTATGTGACAAAGTTCTAGGCCATATTCCATATTCTTGTCATTAAGGAAATAAAGTTTTATCTTTGTGTATGCTGTATTTAATGTTGGATAGCATTTATCCAAGCTGTGAGATTTTTTTTAATGCCTACATTAGGTCAGTTAAAACTCCTGCCTGTTCATATATTTAAAAGCATTTGAAAGATAGCTAACTTAAAGCACTTTTAATTCAGTTTGGAGGTGTCCTTACCCTCTCTTCCTCAGTAGATCCATAAAAGGAATGTAAACCCCTACAAATGGCTTATAAACTACATTACTTTAGGACATGGAAAACATGGACTTAAATCAGAGTAAGATTTGACTGCTGCTTGCTCCATGCCTTTTGTCAGTTAAAACTTTCGTGTTTTCATGCTAGCTCTATAGAAAATTAAGCATGTATCTATTTTTCCCTCTAAAGGAAAGAAGGCATCGGTGGATTTTACAAAGGAATTGCTCCCAATTTAATTAGAGTGACTCCAGCCTGCTGTATTACCTTTGTGGTGTATGAAAATGTCTCACATTTTTTACTTGACCTTAGAGAAAAGAGAAAGTAAGCTAAAATAAGACAATTCAGTATATTTGCCCAAGGCAGCAACAAGCTCCTTTTGTTTAAGGCATAAAGAAGAATCCTGCACAGCAACATGGCTCATATTTGAAATTGGTCTGTAGTCATTAGAGGCCAGAAAACTGCTAAGTCTTTGCAATGTTTTTCTGCTTTTTGCCTTCCCCATATATATGGACCTTGGCTACCTCTGCCCAAAATGGCTGCCATCAACACAATGTTAAAACTGAAATAAAGTATAGAGTTTCACAAATTTCTACATTTTATTGGTAGAAGCTGATTTTCAACATTTGCTAAATGGATTAGATGAATGTACTTTGTTGTGTGACTTATTTGCCTGGATTGCTTTAAAATTAACCTTTGTGCAATACCAAGAAAATGGCTTTTTAAAAGAATGTCTTTGTTTCAAGGTAAATTAAGGATTTACTGCATAAGGTATTGACCAAATTCAGAAGATTTTAGAATTGAGAAATTTTAGTGAGAAAAAAATCGACTCTATGCCTTAGTTTTAATTCAACTGGGATACACTACCTAGCAAAAATTGAGAAATTACATACTTCTTGGAGAAATAGCTGACGTCTATTGTCATTCCATTGCTAATTTTTTTTTCCCCAGAGACTTCCATAATTTAAAATAAAATCCTAGATCCAGTTCTTGTGTTTTAGCATAAGTACTTAGTCTATTTTAAATTTATAAAATTTGAGCTTCTAAGGATCCAGCTGTGTCAACCTTTATTTAGCATATGTAGCTATAAATCACTTATTGGAAATGCTAAATAGATCACCTTTTACAGATACTGAAATGTTTGGGATGTGTTGTCAAATTGAATGGAAATGAGAAACTTTATACTTTAGTTTTCAGATACATGGATCTAGATCCCAAATAAATGATTACTCTTCATTGGTTACTCAAATTCAGGTTGAAATACAAATCACATTAATAGCCATTATTGCTTTTACTTTTATGAGTCATTGTAGACATCTATAAATATAAAAGGGCCTGTTCCCAAAAGATGCCAGAATGATGCTAGTATTTTTATTTATCATAAACATCTATGAGTGCTGTTGCACTACCATCTATTTGTTGTAAATAAAACTGTTGTTTTCAAAGCCATCTTTAAATAGTTCTTTGAAAATAGGTTTATTTTTTTATATTTTGGAAATGGCATTTTTTTGAAATAAAGATAAAATGATAAGTACCTAATTGTATTTACTGTAATATCTTGTAACATGCATAGGAATGCTTTATAAGTTAAATGTGATGTATTTTTTTATACTTCTGGATTACACTGTTATTCATATGAAATCCTGGTATTAGTCCCCATGTGGAAAAATGAACTGCAGATGATATTCGGTGCTTAAGATAGCACCCTTATTTAAATACCTCTTATGTACTCCCAAGTGAATAAAACAAAATTCTTCCTCTGAGAGCATATAAGCTTGTGTCATAGATAAATATGCATTAAATAACTACAATTATAGATTCAGAACATGTAAGGAATCTGTTACAAAGCCCAGTTAAGAGTTCTGAGAGAAGAGAACTCAATTTCAGTCATTCAACAACAAATAGTCACTCAACTCCTGCTCTTTGCCAAGTGTGTCACCAAGCACTGAGGATATACCAATAAAAATAAGCCAGACAATATTCCTGCCCTCAGGGAATTTTCTTGGTGTAAGTGACAGAAAACCAAGTATGTGCATAATATGATTTAGGTATTTAATGCTATAAATAAAACAAGCAGAACTGGGGGATAGTGTTGCTATCTTAGGTAGTATGGTTGGGGTCAGGAAAGGTCTCTGAGGTCATATTTGGAATATGAGGAAGCGAGCCACAATGAGAGGAAACACATTTCTAGCCAGAGAGGATAGGAGGTACAAAAGGCCTGAGGCAGGAATTAACTGGCTGGTGGGATGAGTGAGGAGAGAGAGGAGGTTGGTGAAATGGCCACTACAGTATGGTGGGAAAGAGCTCAGGGTGGACAGCCAGACCCTCTGGCTTCAAAATTCAGCTTTCCCATTTTCTGTTTGACCTTAGGCAGATCACTTCAGCCCTCTTTGTCTTAGGTTTCCTGATCTGTAAAATGGTATCTTAGATCATTTCCTCTGTAACAGTGCTGGAGATGGGGAGTCTCGGGCAAGTGAGTGAGGGAGCACTTTTAGGAGAAATCTGCAATGGAGTAAAGTAAATGGGATAAGGCAGAGGAGGAGTTTCGGGAGTAGCCTCAGCCTGACCCTATAGGGCACTCTGCCAAATGAATTGGGCCACAGCAGTTGTCCTGCAGGAGGTGAGGGGGGCTGAGCCATTAGGTTCCCACATTAGGCTGTCACCACTGACTGGGGGGAAAAAGGGATGGAGGAGTGACTAGGTGCCTCTCCTCAGCCAAAGGCAATCCTTCCAATAAGGGCCAAGGTGTGAGCTCTTACCAGCATACACCTACAGCAGCTAGAGTATGGGTGCACCAGTCCTGTCAAAGGGGTCTGGGTAAGTTAACCAACAGCATCTGCTGCAAATGAGGAAGTTAAAAGTACATAGCTGTAGGATTATTGAGAGGATTAAATGAATGAATTTTTGTTTATTTTTTATTTTGAGACAGTTTTGCTCTTGTTACCCAGGCTGGAGTGCAGTGGTGTGGTCTCCGCTCACCTCCACCTCTCGAGTTCAAGCAATTCTCCTGCCTCGGCCTCCTGCGTAGCTGGGACTGCAGGCGTGCGCCATCATGCCCGGATAATTTTTGTATTTTTACTGGAGATGGCGTTTCACCATGTTGACCAGGATGGTCTCGATCTCTTGACCTCGTGATCCCCCCACCTCAGCCTCCCAAAGTGCTGGGATTACAGGCATGGGCCACTGCGAAATGAATGAATTTTTAAAAAGTGCTTAGCATGCCTGGGCCAATAAATGTTAGCAGAGACCAGGCCTTGTAGGCCATGATAAAGAGTTCCGATTGAGAGATCATTGGTGATTATACAGAGGAAACAAGAAAGGCAAAAAACAGGAATACTAGTTAGGAAGCTTTTACAAATGTCTGTCATGAGCAGGTGGTAGCTTGACCCTGGTTGATGGAGTGTAGCAGTGTTTTATACCTTAGGACAGGCGTCCCCAAACTTTTTACGCAGGGGGCCAATTCACTGTCCCTCAGACCGTTGGAGGGCCACCACATACTGTACTACTCTCACTGACCACCAATGAAAGAGGTGCCCCTTCCTTAAGTGCGGCGGGGGCCGGATAAATGGCCTCAGGGGGCCGCATGCAGCCCGCGGGGCCGTAGTTTGGGGACGCCTGCCTTAGGGGAACTACAGCAGGATTCATGGAGGGGGAAACATTTAAGCTGGGCATTGAATGAAGATCCCAGAGGGAGCCATGGAAAAAGGAAAGCACAGGTGACTTGGCTTGAACTGAGTTGTCAATGTAATAATAAAAGGAAGTTGAAGAGAAAGCTGAAAGATTGGGACCAGGACATGAGAACTCTCGGAGCCTGACCAAACCTGTGTAGGCTTTACTGGGTAAAAGAGAAGTGAGAGTAATTAGAACAGAGAGATATGGCTACTTCTTAGGGGTGACAGAGGAAGACTGGTTAGATAAGAGAAACAAATTCAAAACAGGTGTTAACCAATAGATATTTGGGTAGGATGAAGATTGATGCCACCGATAAAGCAGATTCAAATTATAGAGGCTAATGACACATTACAAGCAACTTAGGGAGTGGAGTGACTGTAAGTATTGATTTCACTATGGGCTGTTCTTTCCTGGGTTTTGGCAGATAAAAGGAAGGTAAAGAACTTTAGCTTGTAAAAGTACTGCAAGTCTACGAAAGAGTGTAGGTAGGAGAGGTTGGCAAAGGGAAAACCAGAACACAACTCTAGAGAGAACCCTTGAAGATAAAGACACAGGCCAAAAAGATAAAGATACAGGCCAAAAAATAAATAAACTAACTTGCTGGAGCTATGCACCAGAAAATGTAATCAAAGACAATGATGGGTACCATGCCTTGTGAAAAGAAGGCTATTAACATTTGAAAACATGCCTTTGTAGTCTGACAATATTTAGACAGTCTTGTCTTCTAAACACACTAAAAAAGGGATATCAACTAAAAGTATGTTGGAGTTTGAGTCATCAGAGTTAATATTTTCTTTTGGATGTGGATACTTTGATGAATATAAAATCCTCCAGATAAAGTATATGTTATTACCACTTTTATAACAAGGTCTCTTTAGCTATTGCAAAATAGCTTATAGAAACAAAATTGCATGAGATGATTTAGTTACCTTTATGCCTATTTTCAAAAGACGAGTTAGGTAACATGCAGAAAGTATGTGAAGTTTGGGGTTAAAGTCTCAAATTTGTTTCTAAAGGAGTAAATAGGAAAAAGACTCTGGAAGTCCCTGTAATGAGTATCTGTTAATTGGCTGTATAGCATCCATGCCTCTTCCTTTTTGGAGTAGGAGTCTGAAGTTCTTTTTTTTTCTTTCTTTTTTTTTTTTTTTTTTTTTTTTTTTTTTTTTTTTTTTGAGACAGGGTCTCACTCTGTCACCCAGTTTGGAGTGCAATGACATGATCACATGATCATAGCTCACTGCAGATTCAAACTCCTGGACTCAAGGGATCCTCCTGCCTCAGCCTCCCTAATAGCTGGGACTACAGGCATGAGCTACCTCACCTGGCTACAGAATTTCTTTTTTTTTTTTTTTTTTTGAGACGGAGTTTCGCTCTTGTTACCCAGGCTGGAGTGCAATGGCACGATATCGGCTCACCGCAACCTCCGCCTCCTGGGTTCAGGCAATTCTCCTGCCTCAGCCTCCCGAGTAGCTGGGATTACAGGCACGCGTCACCATGCCCAGCTAATTTTTTGTATTTTTAGTAGAGACGGGGTTTCACCATGTTGACCAGGTTGGTCTCGATCTCTCGACCTTGTGATCCACCCGCCTCAGCCTCCCAAAGTGCTGGGATTACAGGCTTGAGCCACCGCACCCGGCCAGAATTTCTTTTTGGAACTTACCCCCTCCCTCCATTCTCAGTTTTGTGATTTAGATGGGATCAGCCTCACCTGCCCTAGAGACTGCCATAATTAGCAGAGCCAATCTGAATGTGCTATCTCTATTCATAATGAGTGGTTTGGAATTGGCACAGTTACTTAAGCTGATATGATCAGAGTGACTTTTTTTTTTAATTACTTTAATTGCATTTTAGGTTTTGGGGTACATGTGAAGAACATGCAAGATTGTTGCATAGGTACACACGTGGCAGTGTGATTTGCTGCCTTCCTCCCCATCACCTATATCTGGCATTTCTCCCCATGCTCTCTCTCCCCAACTCCCCACCATCCACTGTCCCTCCCCTGTTTCCCCCTGACAGACCCAGTGTGTGATGCTCCACTCCCTGTGTCCATGTGTTCTCACTGTTCAACACCCACCTATAAGTGAGAACATACGGTGTTTGATTTTCTGTTCTTGTGTCAGTTTGCTGAGAATGATGGCTTCCAAGTTCATCCACGTCACTGCAAAGGACACAAACTCATCGTTTTTGATGGCTGCATAATATTCTATGGTGTATATGTGCCACATTGTCCCTATCAGAGTGACTCTTAAAGACATTTTCACCCTGAGTATAGTGACATAAATTCTCTCTTTGCTGCAAGCAGAATTTGATAGACAGGAAATAGTCCTCTGGGACACAAGCAAGCCAAGTCTGGTGAGCAGATTGCAGAGAGAGTTAGGACATTTCTGCAGGTGTGAAACTGGAGCAGAACTTCTACACATTGAAGGACCTCAGAAGCCAGACTTTAGGAGAAAGGAAAGCAGAGATTGATGGGTGGGCATACAGAGAGTCAGGACACTGCTACAGAATTTGTCACTATACTCAGGGTGAAAGAACTTAGAGCTAATTTTTGAGCTTAGAATTTCTCAAAGCCAATTTAGAATCATAGATTAAGCAGAGTGAGTTTGTCCAAAATGGAGTCAGCACCAAGGAAGTAACAATAAGAAATTGAAAGAAAGGAACTAGGTACTATGCTGTATTACATGGGATTCTGGATCAGTCCTTACCCCTAGCAGCATGTATTCTCTGAAGTTCAGCTGGGTGACCCAATAGATTTCCTGGTTTTGTGTGTTTTTTTGGGGGGGGTTTTTGAGAGGGAGTTTCACTCTGTCACCCATGCTGGAGTGCAGTGGTTTGATCTCAGCTCACTGCAACCTCTGCCTCCCAGGTTTAAGCGATTATCCTGTCTCAGCCTCCCAAGTTGTTGGAACTACAAGCACATGCCACCACACCCAGCTAATTTTTGTGTTTTTAGTAGAGACAAGTTTCACCATGTTGGCCAGGCTGTCCTAGAACTCCTGACCTCAGGTGATCCGCCTACCTCAGCCTCCCAAAGTGCTAGGATTACAGGTATGAGCCACCATGCCCAGCTGATTTCCTGTATTTTTGAAGCTAGTCTC